CTCTCTCTTGTCTTCTGAGCAGAGGTGTGGACGAATTCCCTGCGTACATGACTACTTACTACAAAAACAAAACATTTCCCCCCCCCCCCCCCCCCCCAACACCTCACACATGAGAAACATCTCACCTCTGTCCAAGTGAAGCCTCCGCATGCCCCTTCTTCCTTTCTTTTGTTGCGGTCGCTTATGTTTGGTTGGTTTTGTATTAGTTTTGTGGAACGATGGAAAAGAAAAAAGAAAAGGAAAACGCGGCGGGGATTTTTTGTTCGTTGTGTGACGAGAAGACGTGGATGAGGAGAAATTCAGTTTGAGTTGTTTTTTTTTTTTTTGGTAGAGAGTGTGTTGATGATGCTTTGGAGGCACTTGTGCTCACCGCCTTCGTGGCTCTCTGGAGAGTATAAGGCTGGGTGCCCGTGAGAAAAGAAGTTTTAATCGCCGCCGGCTGGCGTATTTGAGACCTCGGTTATTTTAATAGTGTTCTTGAAGTTTTGTTTAAACTGTCTGAATCCGTTTCCGTTGAACGTCTCTCGCCCTTTTATCTTACAACTTGACAGAAAAACGCTCCGCTACCCAAGTTGGAACTTAACAACAGTTTTGAGAACGATTAGTATTCTTTTAAGGAATTGCATAGGGCAGTGTTCCCCAACCAGTGCTCCGCATCTTCAATTTTTTGAAGACATTATAAACTACATAGCTGCTGCATCAGTTCTTCATTCTAGCAAAAAAGTGGGAACTCTTAAAATGTCTGCCGTAAAGTCTTTCAAGCCAAAAAATTTTGATTCTACAGCAATTTTAATAAAATTTGCCGGTCTGCAAAAATTTTTTGGGAAATTTGCTGGTCTGCAGAAAAGTTTTGGGAAATTTGCCAGTTTCGCAAAAATATTTCTGGAAATTTACTGGTCTGTGGGCCCAAAAAGTGAGGGAGAACATTGGCGAAGGGTAAACTTCAGAATGTCAGTAAGCAGAGGACAAAGATACTGTACTTCGCATGCCTTGAAGTGAGAACGTGAGTAAATTAGGTTCCTATGGCATTTCAGAAAGTGCGTTGATTAAGATGGTTAGTTTCAATTTCAAGAAATTCTATGATGCATCCAGTCTAAAATGAAGTTAGAGAGAAGTGATATTTTCCAACTTGGGTATCATAGTATGTTCTATTTCGAAGCAGCTTGAAAATCTCGAGGGGAAAACAAGATCGTACTTCGTTGACCCATCTGCTAATTTTGTTTGTTTCTGCCCTTATCAAAGCTTGAGAATGCTGGTGATTTTCCCCCTTCCATCACTTTTTTCTATAGGAGCGTAGTTCTGCTTATGAAGATATTTCCATCAAGTGCTCTTGAAATGTTATATTTCTCTGGTGATCTGCACTTCGGACGAAACAGTAATTTGATGAGGATGAACGAAATACAATGATGGCTTGCAGAAAATATGTTGGTCACTTATAGCATGGTGCTTCCTCCGAAATAATTATATTTTTGTCTTGTAATAAAAATTAGTGGTCATGTCAAGACCAAGTACGTTTTGCATAGATCTTCATGTTGGACAATGCAATCAATCATCAATGTATTCCTGACCTCTCCTATAATCTGTCTTTTTTAAGGTATACCATCCCCATAATTTATTCGAATTGATTTCGGTTGATCCATCTCTTCTGAAGTGAGGGATTAACTCTTTCAGTGATTTTTCTTCGTGATTCTCTAATGAAGCATATTAGAATGACTGGTTCAATTCAACTTGAAGCGCCAGAGCATGATCACACGAGCAACATCTTGATAAACATGGAAGTTCTTTGTAAAGAAGCGTAATGTTGTGAGGAACCAGACTTGAAATACTTTTACATTGAGAAAATTGCTGCAGGGAAAAACCATGAAATAAAGGGGTCACCTGTACAAGATTTGTTAGCGTGCATACTTCATGCTTATACAGTACTTGCATAAGGAATGTTTATTGAAAATGTCCACTGGTGATGAATCTAGCTGATCTTGGCTAGATAATATTTCCATTAAGTAAATGCGGCGTCAGTCATCTTATTCAAGAAGCCAAAACTTTCTCGCACCACAAGACAGCATTCTGTATTCATTGCTCTCACATCGAAAAAAAAAAACCAAAACAAAGCATTCACGAATAATTTGAGATCTAGGACGGCTTTCATTTTTCATCGAGATCACACCGAAGATAATCGAAATAATCACCACGTCGCTTGTGCAGTTTTCCTTGTTTAACATCAATTGAACACGTCTACATTGTTTTAAAAACCGGATTCGATTCACGCAATACGATATGCAGCACAATACCTTCATTTCCTCCGGGATAGATTGAGTTGAATTTGGTCGCTGAGCCAGTCAGCGCCTGCAGCTAATCCATCTCCAGTCAAGGCGTTGGTTGCTGCTATCTGCCACGGTTTGTCTTTCACCTAGTGAAAATAAAAATTATCTTTCAAAATGGAAATTGACTGATTCAAAAACTGAGAAATTCAAAGGCAAGCCACTTCAATCAAATGGCCAACATTTCAACGACACATCCGAAAAAAAAAACTCCAGCTCGAAGGTTTGAGTCGGGGGAACTAGAATTTTTGCTGTGGAAAAAATTACAGGAGGATAAAATAGGTGATATTTAGCCTTGAACTACTGAAGAAATAAGTTAATACTTTACAGGAGGCTGACCTAAGGCAAGGGTGCCAACTAACTTACTTCCTTTTAAAAATAATGAAGTTAAATTTGTAATGCTCTTCTCCTTCCTGTGTCCCCAGAGTGAAAAGTCCAAAGGCCTGTAAAAATTTGAGTAACAGAGATTCGAGGGAGGGAGAAAATCTCATGAGTTAAGAAGGTCTATAATATCTATATTATTTCTTCCAACAGGAATAAAGACACAGAAATTGACACAAGGGATTTGCGTTGGCAAGGGCCAAGTGTATTACCAAGTCCTGATCCAGACCAAGTCCCTGCACGATTTTAACAGGACTCAGGGCGTCTCTCAAGTCCATCTTGTTGGCCAGAACAAGAATCGGCAATGAACGGCTTTTGATTTCAGGATGCTTCAGCAATCTACAAACGATAAATGATTTGGATCATCAATCGCACGCAAATACTTTCTCTCGCCCAGATTTTTCCAACAAGATACAAGAACGCTCCAAATTTTAGGGCGACTTCCTAGAAAAAATCGTCACTGATCTTGACTAGAGCTTCCCTACGGGTAGGTGTTGGAAAATGAGATCCGAGCGATTCGCGCAGAAACTTAACCAATTTTTCGCGTGTGTTTTTTCATATTTTCGGGAAGACGCAGGTAAGTGAAAAATTGAGAATACTCACATATCCAATTCATCTTTGGCTACAGCAAGACGAAGCTTATCAGCGCTGTCCACAACGTAAATGACACCCTGACAATCGCTATAGTAATGCTCCCACAAGTTTCGGTACCGTCCTTGTCCAGACATGTCCCAAGCAGTGAAATGTACATTCTTGTCTGATGGACAATATACAAAATTATTGATTTTCTAACCTGTGTCCTGAGTTGGTAAAGAAAAAATATTGTGAGATCAATCTGAATAATTGTGTCAACAAAATCAAGCAATCACTAGAACCAATAATGAAACTTCTATCATTCAACACAAGAGGGTTGCTTCCCAAGTTTCTTGAGTCATTTCACATCCAAAATCATAGGAGACGCAAAACGATGGTTCAAAATTTCTTTACATTTCAGATTTTTAAACTAATGTTTTTAATTTCGTAATTGCTTGTAAATCTTTATTGGAAGAAGACGATTTTAGGACTGGTGATACTTATTTAAAATCTCGGTACTCACCCAAGATTCGCTCGGACGCTATTCAATCAGACGTTATTAGGGTGACTCAAAAACTTTCTGAAGGCACATTTTTTTTAATAAAGAATTTATTAGATGGATTCAAGCTTTTAAAATCCCTTAAAATAAGGGGGAAAAGAATGTCTGAACCCAAAATGCCCAGCTGAATTTTTTAAATCCTCTCGATGAAAGGGAAATCAGACCTCAACCAAACTCGTGGTCAGAATCATTGCCATCCGACAAAAAACTACTGTACTCACATTTGAATTTTTCAACGGAGAACCCGATCGTGGGTACCACGTTGCTGTCTTTGCAATCCGGGGATTTGAAGTGGTTCAACACAGTCGACTTACCACTGTTATCCAGTCCCACCACGAGAACATTGCAATCTTTTCGCCGAATACCAAGAAAGCTCGCTAGTTTGTCAAACAGGCCCATTAAATCTGAGGAAACACGAGAATTGGAGGTACAATTATTACTCCGTGCTTCGATGATGATACAATTAACATTTCAGATACATAGAGATTTGCTGAAGTTCTGTGTCCAACCGAACAAGTTTCGCGGGTTTTTGAACTTATGCATCAGAAGTCATCAATATCAACCATTATACAACTCAAATACAAAATTGTATGCTTGATTGAGCCCAAGATTCGGTTAGAATAGAAAATGTGATATTCGTTCAGACTTCAGACTGTCGAGATTTTGAATTTGACGACACCTGGCGGCTCTTTCAGGAAGCAGTGGCAAGAAAAAGTTTTGTTCGTAGCTCAGAGCTGTTATTGTTGAGCGTGAAACATCAGCGAGCAATCAAAACTTTCAAATGGACACAAAACTTGATCAAGTCTTTTCCAGAAAATCGCGAAATGAGACACCCAGCACACGATCGATCAACTCAAACTTTTCTTTTCAAGATTCTTCTGGACTTCCGAGCTCCAGGAAACTCAATTCGTCAAGCAAACAACAAACGAAATCGTGCATTTCACTCACTCCATTTCCAAAAAAAGTTACTCCCTCATAGCAAACGACTTCAAAAACATTCAAGTGCCCAAAAACGATTCCACCGCTTCATACGTTGATACAAAAACGTGTCACCTTACCCGCTTCAGCGACGCGGAAACACGATACAAATCACTTCACGAATAACTCAGCTCTTCATACCAGCAACAGAAAGAATCCGGCTCATTCAAAAGCATGAACATTTCGAACCAGTGTTCTTCAACACGAGGTCCGCAGGAATTCGAGCATGTGCAATTCGAGAAATGAGCCCAGGCACAATTTTCGATCACCTCGTTTGATAGAAGCACCAGCACCAAGATTGGCCCCCAGTAAATACTGTATCACCGAAACATGCTCAACAGCTCAAGCCAAGTAAATTAATGATCAAGTTGACACATAAAAGGCACACTTCTTCACCAGGAACGAACAATGCAGGAATTGAGCCTGAATTGAACTTCTTGTCATTCATCTTCGTAGTAATTTTGCATACTTCAAATCATGCCAAATTTTTCAGACTCGCTCTTCAAAATGTATTTGGGAGAAAAGCCTTCCAGTACTTCTATAAGAAAAAAGTACTTTCTCGCATACGGTTATCGAATTATTCAAGGAGAATGGTACATTGGACTCCTTTCCAACGTTAAGGTCATCAGATATTTTTGCCCGTTCAACTGGGACGCATTTGACTCCAGTAACTCTACAACGCGATTAGCTTGATGACGAAGCATTATTTTCTTCTGGCATGGTCGTCGAGATGTACTACACCGAATTCATGGGAAAACATTTTAGTCTTTCATCCATCCAAAGATTTCATACTGGTCTAAAACATTTTCTAGCTCGGTTGAATTGAGATTTCAAATCTTAGTCTTTCGTTTTTCAATTGCGTTCAGAACTTTCGGTAATAGCTACCCCATGGCGTTTCATCAGGTGGTACGCTGAGGGATACATGACAAATATTTCTCATCGTAGAGTGCTTAACGTTACTCCGCATGGCGATGAGTAGGTTTTAAACCGACAGAAAGTTGTTCAGATGAGGAATCGAGAAGGAATAAAAGCATCAGAAATTAAAGATAGAGAGCAGGGATAAAAACACCAACCCAACTACAAACCAAATTTTCAACGAATATTCAGAACTAATTTTTTCCGACGAGTGAATCGCTATTCGAGTGGATCGCCCATTCTTCGGGAAACAATTTCTGACAAAAATGCGGGAATAATACCTTCAAGAATTACTGAAAAATGAACAATGACTCTGAAACCAGATTTTTCTGCTGGAATATCTGGAAAAGTCTGCTGTTCCAGGGAAAACAAAGTTCAAACCATGAAAACTTTGATCAGACACACGATTATGAATCGCAAAGAATAATCGCCGTCGTTAGGACATTTGTCGGGAGTCGACATAATCTTCCTCTTCAAATGTGAAAATTTCCAAATATATCGCAAACGCCCCCATTTTCTTCAGCCCGAATAGCAAATGCTGTTGCCAACACTGATTCGTTGTTTTGGACATTGGTTGTACGAAGAAACCACTGTAATAATTCATCACTACGGCTTCAACTCAAGTTGAAGACATAGTTTTAGAATAGACTTGAGGCCATGAAGTTCAGAAAGACTGCAGCACATCAGGTGATACTTTTTCAAGGGTCCACGCAGAAAATACTGTGGTACATGAAAAATACCATGTTTACAAAAAGGTTTAAGCCCTAATAATTTTTTTTTTCCGGAATAATTGGGCAGTTCACGAAGTATTCATTTTTTCGCGGATCCCCAAATGGGAAACAACAACAAAAATTGTAGATGAACACTGGCTACCGTCGTCGTCCTTCCATTCGAGGAAGAAAAAAAAAAGATAATTCCAGCACAGCAAGGAACACAAAAACAATCCGTAAAAGAATCCACGTTACGAGGTTGGATCACTGCAAATCGATGACAGGAACAACGGATATTTCAATCGTCATGGTGTCGTCCGAAATGTACTTGCCCAGATCAACCAACTTCACAAATTTCGTGACGCCGTGATAGCGGTCAGCGCTTGGTTCCGGGCCTTCGGGATCGAGCGGACGTTGAAATGCAGGCAGTTCCACGTCCACGTTCGTCTCCTTGATTAATGGAAGGGCATCCGGGAAAGCTTTATTGTTCGGCATCAGCTTGAATTTCACGGTATCTTTGAATGGCCAAGGCAGGAATTCGTCGCGATCCGTCGGAAGCAACCTCCAACTGAGAGACATGAACTCTCCAGTAGCATCACCGGCCCCGTTCAAGTATGCTGTAGCTTGCATCTTGTATCCGCTGGATGAATCGAAGACAAAAATTCCATTGAATAGTCGAACCTCTTCAAGTTGAATTTCAAAGGAACGAGCAAAAAATAGTGTTAGGGAGGTTTCGAGTGAGGGAAACAAGCATTGCTGTTGTTTAAATGAAAGAATAGCAGGAAATAGAAAATAGCGATATTCTGGTTTTTAAATTGCTGCTTCAATCTGTTGACAGGATGCTGAACTCGGAGGCAACGTTTCATTTGCCCAATGAGTTTTTCACTTCTTCTGAAAACGCATCAAGTTACTTTTTCATTATTTTTCTCTCGCCTGTGCCAAGAAAATAATTGTTAAAAGGCCTCTGAAAATTGGGTTTGTAACGGGGTCCCCGCGCGACGAAAGCCCGGGACACGAAAGCCCCGCGCGACAATAGCCCTGACACGAAATCCCCGCCATACCCGCGCACAGCTGTAACGAAAGCCCCGCCCGAACTTTTCTTCAGGACTGGTAGTGTTTGGTAGTCGCCGCTGGTTAAACTTCATTACTTTGCTACTGATTGAGGGAAGTACACGAGCTCTTGAAGAAAAACAATGATTTAAAAAATGAAACAAAACAAATAACAAACGATTACAAAAAATTCAAAAAAAAAGAAAAAACGGGAAATGTTTTTATTTACAAAAAATCAAGAGTCTTTGAAATATTTTCCAAGAAATCTGAACGTTCAATAAGTCGGCTTTGATAATCTTTGCACAATTGACGCAGTTTTTTCTGGCAATCTCTCTCAAAAGTTGACACTTGCTTATGTGGAATGACACCATCTTTGTCAAATTTCTTCAGCGTTGTAGCAACTAAAAAAAAAAAAATAAATTGAAACAAAACAAATAACAAACAATTACAAAAAAATCAAAAAAGGAAAGAACGGGAAAAGCTTTTATTTACAAAAAATCAAGAGCCTTAAAAATATTTTCCAAGAAATCTGAACATTCAATAAGTTGGCTTTGATAATCTTTGCACAATTGACGCAGTTTTTTCTGGCAATCTCTCTCAAAAGTTGACACTTGCTCATGTGGAATGACACCATATTTGTCAAATTTCTTCAGCGTTGTAGCAACTGATGCAGCTTCTTGTTTCAGGCAGCAAATGAGTAACCAAATGGTGGAATTTTTCTTTCCAACCAGGCCGTTGAAATAGCAATTCCAAGCTTCACTGAAATTGTTAGTTGTGCAAAGATCATTGAGCACAGCCTGATGAATGTTCCACTTCTGTGGCGGAAATGTTGGTGGTCGTCTGGTGAAAACAACTGGGGCAATTTTTCTGGGCACTTGACTTGATGGTCCCAAAAATGGAAAAATCCCACCTTTACTAATTCGCTGCCTGAAACAAGACCCTGCATCAGTTGCTACAACGCTGAAGAAATTTGACAAATATGGTGTCATTCCACAAAAGCAAGTGTCGACTTTTGAGAGAGATCGCCAGAAAAACTGCGTCATTTGTGCAAAGATTATCAAAACCGACTTATTGAACATTCAGATTTCTTGGAAAATATTTCAATTAAAAAATTTTTTTTTCAATAAAAACTTTTTCCCGTTTTTTATTTTTTATTTGTAATTGTTTGTTATTTGTTTTGTTTCATTTTTTAAATCATTGTTTTTCTTCAAGAGCTCGTGTACTTCCCTCAATCAGTAGCAAAGTAATGAAGTGTAACCAGCGGCGACTACCAAACTGACTACCAAAGACTACCAGTCCTGACAAAAAGGTCGGGCGGGGCTTTCGTTACAGCTGTGCGCGGGTATGGCGGGGATTTCGTGTCAGGGCTATTGTCGCGCGGGGCTTTTGTGTCCCGGGCTTTCGTCGCGCGGGGACCCCGTTACAAACCCCTTCAGCTTGAATACCGACGAATTCAAGCCAAAGGCATTTTCAAAGGCATTTGAAAATTGGAGAAATGTTTCTTCAGCAGAAAGATCGTCAACAGGCGCAGATTACGTCGTTTAAAATACCTTGAAAAATTGTAAATGTATAATGACGACGGGTAAAAGAAAACTTGAGGCCAATTTTTGAAGTCCCGTAAAAATAGGAATGAGACAAAAATCCGGTTCTTCCTTCACGAGAATTACGTCAGACGCAAGTTGTCTCCCCAGCTGATAGGACCTCGATATCTCAAATGCAAGTTGAATGCCGATGTAAAAGTGACTATAGTTGAGCGACCCATCTTCAAAT